AAGTGCCGCTTTACTACACAAGCGGCATTCACAGGAATTAATCTGCAGAGTTTACATTGATTTGCTTCAATCCTCGACCTCTCTTTTATGAAGCTTAATCTATCCATAAAATCAAAGGTTAAGCCACATTCAGTTTTGTTTAGTAAACTAGAAAAAGCATTCTGTTCCAAATAGTTAAGCTGCCTTTCTTTTTTCAAGTCTTCGCGTGGAACTGCCAACATAGTATAGTCAGCTCAAAGATGATCTAAAAATCCGGATTTGCAATCCGGAGTGTTTCCATTCTATTGTGTGCATAGCAGATCAACACCTCTCTTAACGAGTTCGGTTTTTATTTTTAGAACTATGACCTCTTGATCAAATCTATCCTTCGAATTATGAAGCTTATGTATATACACACATCAGATAAATTCTTCGGATATAAAAAGCCCATGTCGCTGATTATTTTTGGTGGCTTACTACAAGACCTACAAGAATAAGTGTTGTTTTGGCTTTTTCAGTTTTCTCCTCTTTTGGCGAGACTGAATAACCAAAGGACGTGGAAAGGAGAGCCAGACAGGAAATAGCTTCTCCTTCATTTAATTTTGTGTTCACCTCCGATTCGTGTCTACAGGGGATGAAAACCTTATATCTGCTCAAAAGGTTATTCCACCCTCAGATTTTCAGATTAATACTATTAGATGAAAAGTTAAGGTAACCAAACCGGAAATGCAAACTGACATTTTGTAGGAGGGTCAAAAACACCTCTTTCCCTACCCACCCCTCCCGCGCCTTTATCGCTAAGCAGGTATTAATTCTTTACCGCGGGGACCACTGTTTTAAATACTATGTGCCGGTAAAACTTGTGGTTCAGTTTGAGCTCTTTAGTGTGAGAAATGGTTAGAGACACTGGAGAATGCAGTTGCCCCTATGTAAGCATTCGACCCCAGATCATGTATGAGGAATCGGACAGTTCAAGAAACTGTTACAGTTCGATACAGTCCTTCTTTATTACGGAAGATGCTTTTTCCACATTTGAATCTGTGAATGAATCTTAAAATTAAAGCTTCTAAGCAGTACTTTTCTGTGGTGCTGTTTACTTTGTTATGCAACGTGGTTCTTACCTTTGAGTTTGTAGAAGTTCTTAAGTGTGACCATTAAAATTAAAGCTACTGAGCAGTACTCCCCTGTTGTACAAGGTGGTTTTACTTTTAAGTCTGTAGATGAAATCTGTAAGTGTGGCCATCTAGCTGTCTATTATACGGCACACGGTAGTTCTAGCATTCTAGAGGCTGTGGATGCATCCTAAAGTGTGACTATTCAAATGAAAGCTACAAGGAAGCTGCCTTTTCTGCTGTCACTCAGACATTCTCAGGACACTCAGAGTGCTGATGCTGATGCGGATATCCTAAAGTGGGTACTATTGTCTCCACTATGCAGAATTTCTGGAATCCATAGGTTTGCATTTTTAAACGAAATCCAGTTGTTAGTTAGTATTCATATACGAAGTATCGGACAGCACAGTGCATTGCATTAGAGACTTTTTGTTATAATTTGTTTGCAAAACATGTCGTGACGGGTTTTATCTTTTTGAATGGATTAACCCTCACGAGAAATAAAATACGGCTATTTTTGAAGACTTAAGCGTTGAGTTTGGTGCTGCGCGATGAGGATCGGAACGCTCGGACTTGCGGGCGACATATCGAAGGAAATACCGCAACTTCACAGAGATGCGACGGAGATAAATAGTAATACCTCAATACGGTATGAGGTAAATATGAGCTTAAACGACCTGTAAAATGATGCAGTGGAATTAGGGGTTCAAGAATCTAATGAGCTTGTTTTAAAAGGTTATCACTAATTAGTAACAAAATATAGCATTAGTCAGCTGTGGAAAACTCCCCATATGAGTATGGACGCGCATGAACGAACGGGCCACAAATGCCGAGTTTTTTGATTTTTACATCTGAAGCCATAGTTAAGGAACAAACCTGTTATTGTTTTAAGTACCGGTATTGAAAATTTTTGTGGCTTAACTTTTGGAGTGCCTGCTCTTTAGTTTAGGTAGAGACTGTAAACACTATATACTTCGAACTTATGAACCGGATATTAAAACCGCGGCCCGGGCGCGGGTTAGTGACGCTTAGCTTGGACAGCGCATCCTCGAGAATTGACGTGAGCGACGCGGAGCCAATTCCTGTAGCTTTTCTTTATCCCTTTTGGCCATTGGTTGGAACTCACAGAAATTAAGAAGGAAGTACTCAGTAGATTATGTTTTTAAGAAAAATCGCATTTGAATTTCAACTACTTCCGTTTTTAACAGCAGAACAAATTATACCACATGAAATTACTCCTGATCAGTGCTTTTATGTGAATGGACACGCCATTGTGGATTTCAGCAAGCTTAGGATCAAACGTTTCAGCGACGACAGAACATTAGCCAACTTTAGCCCAATTTATTGGGTAGGTAACACGAGTTGCTCCTCACCACGCCTATGTTTAAAGGCGAGTCTAAGAGCGAGACTATGGACATGAAAACGATTTTCTTAGACTCGTTTAGAATGTGAAAGATTTTGGAACTCGGAAATAACCTATTCATACTGGGCTTGAGGCTGAGCGGATTAAAACAAAAGAAATGAACTATTCATAGCTGAATTGCAATGAGTTTGCATTTGTTTCATTCCCCTCAGCCTCGACACTAAGTATGAATTTTAAAAATTCGAAAATGGCCAGTTGTGAAGCTGTAGAGACCCGTTTAACTCTCTCCCTGAAATATGAATAGGAGTTGGAGTGGAGAGGGGGGGTGGGGGGGGTGGTGGTGGGGTGGGGTGGGGTGCAGATTGAGGTCCCCTACCACCACCGGCTGCCAAGTGCGGAATTAGTAAATCAAAGTAGTGTGCTGCTCAGGTCTGCTCAGTTTCATTTGAACAGTCACATGATATTATCTACAGAGTCGCAAGTTTACCCGCGATCTTGTGCAGAATAATAAACAATATCAACGATCACAGGATAGAAATGCTCAATAACTTTTATTGAATAGTCACACACAGTAATAGCATTTCATCCACGTACTCAAAGCTACACCAGCGTACCACAAGAAAGTTCTTCTCAGAATAATTTTCGTTTGAATGGTCACATTAAGGGCTTCATCCATAGTAGACTCAAAAGGTAGAAGTCCCTGTTTGATAAGAAAGAATGTTCAACAGGAAAAACTGGTCATTGATTTTCATTTCATAGTCACTTTCTAGAATTTTATCCCGACAAACAAACCGTTAAAGTTACGGAGCTAGCCATCTTGATAGGAGGTCGCTGCTCAGTTAGTACTCATTCAATTCATTCGAATGGTCACGTACCGATTTCGCCTACAGGAAAAAGAGCCAAAACCACCTAAATATGAGTACCCCTGGCCTTGCCTATGCACAGGACTGTATCATAAGAAGATGCTCCTGATCTGGCTCAATAACGCTCGCTCTCGCTTTGAGATTTCGCCAACGCGTCTAAACTAAAAAGTTAGAATAGAATAGATTAATTCTGTACCCTTAACAATATACAACTAACCTTACTAAGACCTGTTTTTCATGAATGCCACGTACACAATACTTTTTAAAAAATCAGAAATTCAGATGACCTAATCGTTCAAATTGACTTAATGATGTAGCTGCTCTCCCATATCACAGGGTAGGCTGTTCCAGAGAACTGCTCCGTTAAAAAAGAAGCTGAATAGATGGTGTCCGCTCACATGATCTTCTTCTTTATTGAAAAACAACACCGGAATACGACAAGAAAAATCGTACGTGTATAAATGTGTCTTCACCTTGGGGCTTAACTTAACGGGGCTGGAGGTCTCAACTTTTCTAAATAGTTTTCATAAGCAAATAACTAACTTAACTGTAATTAGCCGGGATTATAAAAGACAGTAAGCTAATTGGAACATTTTATCTGATGGTATTTCAAAACTGGGAAGTGCAGAACATCATTGTGGCTGACTTACGATTGTTTGTATGACCTCGGTTCAAGTAAGCTAATCTACTTTTACACTCGAAATATGTAAAGTAGTTTGTTTGGAGAGAGGCCTCGGTCAAGCGGTTTCCTCAAATAGATTTTATTATTCCTATTGGCTTGTTAAGTAAATAAACAAATGAAGTAACTTGTAAATTTGTAGTAAGACCTTTCATCTACATGGCCGCAATCTGTACATTTTCGTCATGCCTAACGCGATCCGCCTTAAACTTTCGCGTCCGCAACTGTACCTTTTTTGCTTTTTAAGACTCAAAACGGGAATGCAAAGCACTGCCTTATAACAACTGCTCGTGTTACCTTCTTACAGCTGTATGATGCATGTGTCATGTTGGAGCAAGAAGAAGAAGAAAAAAAACGTTTCCGAACACCGCATGCGAGGGGGTGTGTAATTAATTCCAATCTTAAAGGTTTTAGATCTAGCTGATAATGACGGTTGTTTCTTGACATGGGATTGGCGGAAAATGACGATATTTCGATATTTATCAAAACAAGGCAAGATATCTGTTTGACATATAGCAAAAACTTATCTTAAGGGCTTGCTATTTCCAGTAAACTAAGCCCGGGGAAACTCGTGTATCGTGTCAGTGTGACATTGTTTTTATCGCACGCAAGGAAGGATACTTATAACCTATCCATTCAAGGCCAAACTACTCATTACACGTATCTCTGGAGTGATACGTCCGTTGGAGGGCAGATATAGCAAACTGAAGTTTTTGATGAGCGGTTATTGATACGACATCGTTCATTTACAGTGTTCATTTCCTTTACGAATCCCTCGCGGTCGGATGCAAATGTCTTGGAAAGTAAGTACGTCTTTAGTAACTCACACGCGATCTCGTCGGTCTGATATTTCTCCATATTATCACAGTCGTGCTTCCATACCAGTAGGATATTACGGGACGGCTATCAGGCGGAGACCAATCCATTTTGAGTTCGACAATCCGTTCCAAAGTCGAAGGAATTTTACAAACAGTCGGGAACGATGGCGACAACACCATGTCAACATGGCCTTTGGGGAGCTCAGAAAACTTCTTCCTACATACCCACCAGACAAAAAACTCTCAAAACACGACATTCTTAAACTTTCTATGAAGTACATTACATTCTTAAGCACTGTACTTAAAGAAATGGACTCTAACGAGCCTAATATTTGCTCTGATTGCGGTGTCCTGGGTAATGAGGACTCGTCCAAGTGTTCAGCAAGCCCATCTGGCTCAACGTCATCTAGTGACTGTGGGGTTTTGTCAACCAAGTTAGATTTGGAACATGTTAGTGTTGAGTCACTAACCTCTAATATTCAGCTTGAAGAAGCAAACAAATGATCTTTCGAGCAAGAATATTGTGTCCTTTTTTGGACAATATGTAAATTATCTTTTAAGCCTGGCTTCCAAGAAGCTCATGAAAATATAGCAGAAGTTTATGAGAATTTCAGTCAAAGGAAACGAAACGCCATGGCTACACAGTTTGCTTTAAGAAGACGCAGCGTAAAACATCCGAACTACCTGACTCAACGATGACGGGCCGCCTGGCTTTTCAGTTGGAGATCTTTGTTTGTAAACTATCTTTAACTGGTCAGTTTATTACATTGCAGCCTTCAAATTTGTAGCCGAAAGAAAAACAAACATACACGAAACAGAATTTATAACAATTAAGCACCTTTTTCGCTGGTAAAAGCTAGGCGGCATTTGGCCAGCTGATTGTGGTCAAGAAGGTTTCTCCCAAAGAATGCAAGAAATCGGTGCTACAGAAGGACATGTTTTGATGTCTTCCGGAGTTCATTCAGTTTACAGAAACATGTGTACTGCAGCTATTGTTATGATCATTGGCGAGATTACTACAGATCTCCCGTGTCTTTTTGCGTTATCAAACTATAAAGATTTTATCTCAGATTAAACTTCGTCATGTTGTCTTGGACCGATCGAAATAGATCACGTGATAACTCGATCTTTAAAGACTTTTTAAAAACCCTAATAGCCTCAAATAAAAGAAAAAACAAGAACTGAAAATGTAGTGTTAAATGTGGCTTTTAAACTAATCGGTGAGCTCAAAGGGTCCACTGTGATATTAACGGTAACAGGCGGCTTTGAGCCAAGATTCTCAAACTGATAACCTCGAAGTTCAAGAATTCCCAGATCGAATGTTTTACGTCTTATGGTAAGTTTCCTATCAAATGGATGTCAGCGGATAAATTACTTCAGTTTTTCAGCTCTTGTTTCAACACATATATAAAGCATATCTGAGGCATTAGGATAAAGGAACTAACAAAGATTTGAGAAAAAAAAAATTCTATTCTTGGAGGGCTGAAAAAAATCAGGCACACTTTTTCACCTATTCAATTTCTTATTGTCTTTTTGAAAGCTTTTTGGCAGGTTTTAATTACTTGGATGTTTGTTAATACTACCTGTCAGCAGTTTTAATTATAAGATACACGAGCTGATGTCGCAGCTATCTTATTCCAGATTTTTTTCTTTTAAGCGGAAGGAACAGTACTGGATCAAAATTAAACCTCATCAATTTGTTCGTTTCTAACGTTTTCCAGGTTAGCCTGTGCTAGGCTCTCAGCCAAATGAAAATAAGACGCGCATGATCTGGGAAAAGGGGGCGGTGGTGGAAAAAAAAAGGAGCCAAAAATAGGAGCCCGTTGTCTCTCCCCAGCCCCCGAGCGTTTCTTTACATCAACTTTATACGATACCCTGAATAATTATTCCTCGAGCCCGAATGGGAGGCCGAAGGCCGAACGGGCTATCGACTCAAATCCCACGAGGGCGAGAGGAAAAATTGTTTTAGTAAAATCCAGAATTCAGTGTGTCTACTCAGTATATGTTTTATGCTGGTCAAGTCTTTTATAGATCTTACGTTTTGCGGCATACTCGTTTGCGGTCCTTTTCAGTTTAAAAATCCAGCTAGTTGGTAAAAAACATCGAGACAAAACAACTTTAGCTAGCAAAACGCGATTCAGCCCCTTTCAAAGCCGGCGCTTTCCGCTACTTGTGGTCTATAACATATAGCTTAGTAGAAGCTGAACCAATCAGAACGCAGCATTGATTATAGACCACAAGTTGAATTTTACTAACAGGCGTTATATATTTTCGCGTTTTTCAGGCGAGCGAGGGGTGCCGGGCACGCGCTACGGTGGAAGGCGCTCCTCGCTCGCTTGGCGCTTGCCTTCGATCTCCTGAGAAAAAGCGAAAAAATAATGCGTCTTTATATGAAGGCTAACTGCACGACTGCGCTAATATTTTTAAGCCTGGAACATGCTAGTTCCAGGTTTGCCACAGGCGTGGCTAGAAGATACAGTTTTCTAGTTTGTTTGCCATGGTGACACACTAGAAGTGTGCAGATGGTTAGAAGATGTTTTCCTCAAAGTACATCCGCAATTATTAATAACAGTGCTAATCAAGGGAACCCATACGAGTGAAAGAAGCTCTGTGACCTTAGTCATTTGTAACCTGAGTACAGGATCGATCTCTAAAAGAAAACTCGGCCTTCGGTAAGGGGTGATTCTATTTACTGTTCCCGTTCTAATGGATACAATTTGAACCAATCAGATTGGATATATCCATCTGCTTTCTGCGCAAACCTGGAAACCGCGCTTGAAACGTTTCTGCGTCCATCCTTCTTCTTCTCCTGCTCTTTCACCTTACTTCACTGCTACTCAGAGAAGGAAGGAAGGAGTCGTGGATGAAAGGAAAACAGACGTACCCTCTTTACATGCTGTCCATATAATCTCCCATGGTCACCCCACCTATCATGTAAACGTGATCAAATTAAAATGAGAGATTATATGGAAAGGCGAGTTACCACATCTTAGTGGGTTACCTCACCTTCCTCTGGTGTCCCCCACCTCCATGTAAACAGGCCATTTCAAGGTGATGCTAATTGTCTCTGTTTAGTTAGCTGTTCATCTTGTTTCTGACACTGCGGAAGAGCAGGGGAGCTGGGCGGGCTCATTTACCGAACAGCGGCTTTTTAATTTACCATATATGACGTACCTACCGGAGCCTACACAACGAGCGATTCAGAGCAGGTTTCAGGTAAGCAAAGAATTAACTTGTACTTTAAAGTTTCTCTTTTTTAAACTCTCATGTTAATGTGCTAACTATCGCGACAATCTGTGCTTCGTCTTTGTCGTTTGAAATTCCCTTATAACGGGTGTGCAGTCTTAGATGTCTCAATGAAAGGTCGCCGCAGTAGAAGCACAAGTTGATTAAGCGGTCAGTATAAAATATGGACTGCGGACTGCGGACCACGGACTGCGGACTGGGTATAAAATACGGACTAGGTATAAAACGCGGACTCCGGACTGAGTATAAAACACGGACTAGGTATAAAACGCGAACTACGGACTATGTATATAAAAACAGCTTTAGAAGGTAAAACTGAGAGAAATAGAAAGCGGACTAGCAAAAACAGTAGTCCCAGCTTTAACATTCCCTTGGCTGTTCACGTAGTCTATTCTTCCCACTGAGAAGGAAGGCCTCAAGGCAACTGAAATTAGACTCTGAGTTTTATAAAAAGAAGGAGTTTGAAGAGATTTCAATTTGCAGTTTTAAACCAATAAGAGGCACCGAATTAAAAAAAAAAATAGTATGATCAGTAAATTTCTTATCGGATGCCACAATTCCGCTTCAAATAAAGCCTTGGGAATATAATTATAAGAACTGAATGAAGAACTCAGACGAGAAGGTCAATGCGATGCACAAAAGCAGTATTTAGGTGCGAGGGATTACTCACATACGTGAATAATAACCGAAATGAGTCATCCTATTCTAAACGATGATTATGATGACATGATTTACACCCTGCTCCTGATCCCCGGAGGGGGTACTACTGGGAATTCTTGGTGGGGGTGTAGTGCTCGGTTCTCCGAATCCTGACCTTATTGCAGACCAAAAATTGTCATTTTCCACACCCGTTTTCAGACTAGATCTTGAAAATCCATACCCATTTTCGGACCTGGCCTAATTTAGCCTGTTCCAGGTTCTCAGATAGTTGGGGAGACTCCCCAGTTTTTCCCGTTTTATTTTCGTGTTTTCGCTTTTTTTCTCAATTCAGCGGACCCAACTATCTCAGAGCCTTGAACAGGCTAGGTCTAATTAGGCAGAAATATTGTCATCATTACCAAGTTAGAGCGGAAACAAAAAATTCTCCAAATGTATTTGGAATTCGTGACATTTCTATTTCATGTATGCTCCCGTAGTTCCCTCGAAAACCATACCCGATTCCACACCAAAATGGGCAAAGTGTTGTCAGACCAAAAAGGCCCAAACCCCCTACCCTTCTATTATAGAAGGGAGTACCACCCCTGATCCTGACCCCTTTCATGATTGTTAGAGACCAAGACAAGCTCTAAAAATGGGTGAAGAAAGTAGCATTTTGATCCGGCTCATGATTCAGAGAACCGGGCGCGACACCACCACCAAGAATTTATAGGAGTATTTTCAACTTTAACTCACGTGTCTTGCTATTTAGCGATCTTTTGATCAAATTTTTCCTTACCTAGAACCAATTTGCACGGTTTTTACCAAAGTAGTCCGTAGTCAGTGTTTTATACCCAGTCCGCAGTCCGCGTTTTATACCTTGTCCGTGTTTTATACCCAGTCCGTATTTTGTAGTCCGCGTTTTATACCTAGTCCATATTTTATACCCAGTCCGCAGTCCGTAGTCCGCAGTCCGCAGTCCGTGTTTTATACTGACCGGTTGATTAAGTTGTCTTCGTTGTTTTCTCGATGTATTTGGATACGAAACACTTAAAACCTATCAGGAAATGTGTTTTGTTTTCCATTGTTTTATGTCGCAGTGGATTGTAAACCCACAAGCTTAACCTTTGAAGGTACATAACATTTGCCTAACATTTGCCATAATCCGAAGGATAAATTTCTTAACCGCGGGTTCAGTGGGTTTGTTAGGAGATCATCCTCAGTCCCCTCCTCTACACTTTTGCACGCTTTTTCTTATCTTGCACCACTACCCACTATCACAGGACGTTGCAAATCGATTGAAATCGATCACCGAAAACGTAATCGATTAATTGATAGTACTTGATAATAGTCGATATTTGTCGATTGATTAGTTATTAAAATAGTAATCGATAAAAATTGATGATCACAAATTTGGCTAGAGTCACTCATTTTTTTTTCCATTCAAAGCTGAAGTAACGAGCGGTACATCTTTTGACTTATTGAGTGGTTTTGTTTTTTATGTTTTCGATATTTTCCGATCAAAATTGATAAAATTGATGGTTTAATTACAGAAATCAGTAAAATTGATAATCACAAAAACTCAACTGATTGATTTTCAATGTTAACAGATAATTATAATCGATTTCGGTCGATTACTATTGATTTTAATCGAGTATCTAAAATATTGATTTGTAACGTCCTGACTATCAGAATGACTGGAACAGGATAGTTTGTTTATAACTTGAGGTAAAAATTGCATTGTTCAAAGCGAGGTTAGAGGACCGGTTAGTCAACCTCAAGTTTACCGTGACTAACTTGCGGTAAGCATCGCATGATACTTTTATGCACCTATCAATGGTTTGCCCAGGGATGGGGGCAACCCACGGGAGGTTTTCAAATGTCAATTTCTCACCTGTGGGGTGAACTAATAGGCACTCACAACAGCCTTTATTGTAGCACTGAGCGTCTCCAGAGAGTAATAATGGTGACAAAATAATGGTACCCACAAACTTTGTGTATTTCCCCAAGTGTAGAAGACATATTCTAGCTGGATATTTAGTGCGGCTGGCAATTTACCAGTAACACACATTCTATACTCCGGAAAGTACAGTTGAATTGTTTCACCCAGTGTTTACTGTTATACAAAATGTGCAATGCCAGAACATGACATTATCATCTTCAAGAAGGGTTAACGTCTAATATAAGGGCTGGTGTTTGTAACTGTGGTCCAGAATTTCATTTAATTGGACATACATATTGGAGTATACTAGCAAATCTATCATAGAATTCCAGGACTATTTCATGTCTTTACATACAGTATGATTCTTTGATCTTTTGTTTTATCAAGAACTTGTGGTAGGGCAGCATCTGGTGAAAACTTGTAAGTGGAAAGAGTATTTCCAAATTACACTTTGTGCAAGTATTACTTCTCAGTGCTGGGGAACAAAATACTTTTTGTCATAAAACTTCGAAGATAGATCACTGATGGGTGTTACTGCACTTTTCACAAACATGCGAATTCTGAAGTTCAAAAGCCAACTGACGATTGCGTTTTTCGCTGCCGTCAATCAGCTTCACGGACCTCTTAGGAAACAAAACTTTCCTTTAACAGGTTCAAAAGGTCATGGATTGTGATTTCTGATTGGTGGATTTCGATCCGTGTTGTGAGTTTCTCTGTGTCAAGACTCATTGCTTCTGATGGTAATTATGATTGACAGCAACGAAAAACGCAATTGTGAAGGCGGCTTTTGAACTTTAGAGTTCGCATGTTTGCGAAAAATGCAGTAAAACAACATTTCGTTGCTTAACAGGCAACAAGATACTCCTAACTTTTGTTCTAACATCCTTCACATAGAAATGAACACATCAAAATGTGGGAAACTCCACCAGATTTGAGATGACTACTGGTTATTTTCTAAGATGGAGGACCTCTTATCACTCATTCCCAGGTCCTCCACTTTTCAAGATGGCAGCTGAGTCAAATTTCCCACCCTGGGGATGTTCAGGGCTGGGTTGTTTCAAAGCTTGGTCAAGATAACCCAGGGTTAGTACCAAATTTGAACTCAGATATGAGAGATTAAAAAGCAAATTCAGTTTAATTCTATTTGCCTACCATTTGATGACTGGATACTCTAAAAAGAACAGAGAAAATTATCCGAGAGAGTGCTTTTGATAAAAAAAAAAAACCCGCATTAAAATATTATTTAACCCTGGGTGAGTGCTAACTGGTGTTTGAACAACTGGGCCTAGGATTCAAATTCCCTACCCACGTGCATTTCATTAAGCCTAATTCCCATGGGTTGCCCTCCCTTCCCCCATCCTGGGGCAAACCATTGTTAGGTGTGTTAAGTTGTTTTTGTCCTAAAATGGCAACAGTGCTGGAAAACAAGCTACTGTTTGGGATTTTAGAATGTGGCTGTTGGCCACATAAACAGGTGACCACATTAGCAGAGGTTTTTGCGGGCGACAAGAGGAGCCTGCAGTCTCTAGGTTGTTATTACCCATGCGTCGCATGTATGTATCCAGCATTCGTTTGGACTTCCACTAAGAATGTATGGAATGCACAGCACGCACTTCGATGACCAGTGTTCGGACCTTCTATCACTTGATCACGTATGTTTTGACCGTCTTTCACATGAAACTTGCGAAAGCACAGTGCTGGAGCAAAAGCGTTTTGACCTTCGATTGTTGTCGCTCACACTGCGCAACCGTTGGGTTTTGCTAGTTTATATAGAGAATATTACACGGTGGTGAGAAGATATGAATTTTATGTTCGAATGGCAAGAACAATATCTCACGAGTGAGCGCAGCGAACGAGTGAGATATTGCTCTTGCCACGAGAACATAAAATTCATATCTTCGAGCTAACGTGTAATATTCTTTTTATTATATAAACATACTGATGACGGCGTTTTTGATGATTTTCCAAAGATTTGCGACCACCTTCCGAAGATTTCCGAAGATTTTTCAAATTGTCCCGAAGACCAGACAAACGTTCCCGAACATTTTCCGAGAATTTCCGAAAATTTCCGAAGATGTCCGAAGATTTCCCAAGATTGCTGAGCACTTTCGAGGAAGACCCGAAGATGTTTCGATGATACACCAACGAATTTAAGTACAATTTAAGAGACAAACCTGATGTCAGCGAAATTATCGATATCTTCAGATACCACATTTCTCGGTGGTAGAAATCCTTGTAAAACACTGCAGTTTATATAATAAAAATAAATATATGGTCATTTTGCTGGGCCTAAAAAAAGTGGCCATAATAACAAGGTGACTGTATTACAGAGGTGGCAATAAGACAGAGTTCCACTGTACATAGTTGTAATAATAATAATAATAATAATAATAGACTTTATTATATATACACCAATGAAATACCAGCAGAGCTTTCATGCGAAAACTTGATATCTTCACATGTGAAAATAACATGTTATCTTCACATGTGAAAATATCACCGTTGCTATGGCTACATGATAAATCATGCCTTTCACACCAAAAAACTTAAAGTGAAATGGTTTGGTATTTCATTGGTGTTTATATAATAAATAGAACATTAGATGGCTGCTTGGAGACACAAAATTTCTCTTCTCGTGTTGAAAAAATATTTCACCCGTTCACTGCTCTCAGTCGTGAAATATTTTTCAACACTCTAAGAGAAATTTCGTATCTCCGCGCGGCCATGTAATATCCTCTATTTATTTAAAGAGGGTAGCACGGAATTGTTACAGAAACTAGTAAACTTGTGGTCCTCGATCTAAATTAAAATAACAACAAACATAAGATTCTGAATATACAAAGTCTAAGTATATAGTGTACATGTATGCACAACAAGAATTTCAGCACAGGGTCCAGGAGAGTTGAGTTTGAATGTACAGATAATTTGTTTAAGTCTAACCATGTAAAATATTAATCTTCATTCCTAAAACAATATAAATAATAAGCCTAATGGGATCTTTACAGATCCATTTCAAACAGACTTTTGATGCCAGGAACCCATAACCCGGAGCAAGTAACTCTCATACCAGGCCTAGGTCATGGCATTTTCACGGATCATTTTTTTTTTTTCAGATAAATTGTAGAGCACTTTCCATGAAAATGGAAGTTCTGTGTTCAGTGCAAAATGACATGACATGATCAGTGCAAAATTCTTGACCAGTGGAATTTGAAATTATGTGGTTTTGTAGAGTCAAATGCTCAACAGTCTCCCACACAGGTTTTCAAAACTCCTTTGCCAGGCTCACTTAGAACTTGTAACAGCTTAAATGTTCTAGATATATTTGTAAGAATTCTTGCAGTAACCTTATAACCATGGAAACAGCTAGTATTGAAGCCTAATACTCAACCAACATTTGTCTTACAGGTTTAGGAGGGCTATTTCAATTACATTGTATAGTACTGACTAATAGGGTTAGGAACTTCTAATCCGGGTGTTGTTTCAGCTGGTTGAAAGTCACTTGGTGAAGTGTTGCATACCAAGTATTTAATAACAACGTTTGGCCCAGAGCATGACCTGTTTCTGTGGATCCACCTCATTCTTTGTATCACTTGATAACTGAGTTAAGAACTGCTTCTCTTCTCTGTTTCATAGGTAACTTCACCATTACGTTCCATTCTTCAAGCGGAAAATCCTTGCGAGAAGAGACTTGCGAGAAAAGATATACTCATTTTGATGTTTTTATACTCATTTTGATGTTTAAAGTAAAAAACAAATTAACAGTGAACCAAATTGCGGATATTTTTAATATCAACGAGGAGAATATTAATAGTAAGAGATATAACCTAAGAAATGCAGATTTTGTCTTACCTCGGTTTAAAACTGTTACTTATGGAAAACATTCTCTCAGATTTCTCGGACCACAATTATGGTCTAAACTAAGCAAGGAGGAGAGAAATATTGCAACTTTGGCAACTTTTAGGACAATGATACGTAAGAAGGATGTAACATCATTTCTTGAGGGATGTGGGAGTGAATGCCGCTTATGCTTAGATTAAGAGGACGTACGCATATTTACTTATTCATTTTAGTGTCCGAGCTAATATACGCATTTAGTTTTTATATTGTAAATTTTCGAACTTAGCTTCGAAGTGTTAAATCTAGAACTTAGTTTTTAGAGTGTAAAAGAGCACTTAGCTTGAATAGTGTCAATTTCCGGCTTTTATAGTACTTAATTAGTTTCTATTAATGATGTAATTTAGTTTTAAAGGTGTCCCCAATTAGTGCCAATAGGCACTAGAACGACAAGACACTTTAATAAAGGTTATGTATGTATGTATTATTTTTGTTGGAAGGATTGCAGTGGGATCAGGGTCTCTCAGCAAGACACTGCTTGGACAAGGATATTTGCAGGAGACATGTGAAGCTTACCACGGTTGATGTAAACAGCTGGGAAACACTTGCAAGTGACACAATGTGTGGATTCTGGATGGCCTGGTTTCAGATGCTTGAGTTGAATATGGAGATCGATGGCCTGGTGCAATGTTGGAGTAGCTGGCTGCATTGATCTTCATGTACCTCTTCTATACCCTCTTGAAACAGTAAATGGCCAAGTGACACAATGTGTCTGGAATCTGGATGTTCTGTTTTCAGATGCTTGATAATTATGGAGCCTGAGTACCACAAGAACTGGCCAGGTGCTGCACTGGAGCACCATGTTGCCGTCACCCACAAATGCCTCTCAGCTGTCTGCCTTGACCTTGGCTAGCTTCATGTACCTCGTCTAGATACCCTCTGGAACAGTGGACTGCCAACAGATGTCGAGCACACTGGAAGCTTTCCTTACGGATGTCTTTTGGTGTGAGGCTGTCGTTCATTCTGCAGACAAGCTTAGGCACAGTGGTAGATGAATGGTAGTGGAGTCTGCACCTGCATGAGATACATGTATTTCCCTTCAAGTAAAGCACTTGGTAAGTATTCGACCTATTTCCATGTTCATCGATATCCTGTGTTGGTCCTGCAAGAATGAATGCCATTTGCTAAATCCTTTATTGACAAAAGCTTGTTTGGTTAACACAGCTAGATATTGGCCTTGTTCTTATTTGTATCGTTATTTCAGTCCCAAAAAATGCGTAAAAGAATTTTGCCACTATCGAGCCATCTAGACCTTATGCTTTGCCACTAATGCATAATTATGCATAATGAGAAACGTAGAGGATATTACAATGGTTTTGAACACCAAGAAGAGAAATTTTGATCTCCAGGCAGCCATGTAATGAAGAATTGGTTCATACTTAGCGTGTGTATGTTGAGTTATAGATGCATGCAGAAATTTTGGAGAGCATGAGAGAAACGTAAGAGTTGCTCAAGGTATAGCCAAGAGCAACTCTAGCTTCTTGAGTGCTCTCCAAACTTCCCAAGTGCATCCATAAAATTAAATAATTTTTACTCTTACCTCGTAGCTAGATTAACCCCAGTTAGTAACAGGGTTTAGTTTCGTCTGTGGCTTTGGCTACTCATAGCTCAATGACTTCATTGTAGCCTTGTTAGCTCAGTTGAGAGAGCATCGGTCTGCTGAGCAGGTGGTCGCAGGTTCAAATAGCCAAGGTGTGTTTGAGATAACCCCTGGTATATTTTTGTGCATTTGTTTTTTGAAACAAGCTCAGTCGGTGCAATTTTTTCGCACAAATCGTCTTCTCTTGCAAGATCTCCAGGCACACGAAATAAAGCTTGTTGCTGACTTTGAGCAGGTTGGATAAGTGTGTGCATACCATATTCAGTGAAAAAGTTTGGCCCAGGGTATGACATGGCTCTGTGGATCCACCTCACTCTTTGTATGTCTTAATAACTGCAACAAAATCTGCTTCTCTTCCCTATTTCATAGGTAACCTCACCATTGGGATCCATTCTTCATCAGGAGAATTCTTGCGAGAAGAGACTTCCAACATAAAAATACATTTGTTGGAAGGTTTGCAGTGGGATCAGCGTCTGTCAGCAAGACAGTCTGCTTGGATAAGGATATTTACAGGAGACATGTGAAGCTTACCAAGGTTGATGCAAACAGCTGGGAAACACTTGCAAGTTACACAACATGTGTGGATTCTGGATGGCCTGGTTTCAGATGTTTGAGTTGAATATGGAGATCGATGGACTAAATAGAGCTTAAATATAACAAGAACTGGCCTGGTGCAATGTTGGAGTAGCTGGCTGCATTGATCTTCCCTAGCTTCATGTACCTCTTCTATACCCTCTTGAAACAGTAAACGGCCAACAGAGTAATGTTGAGCCACTGGAGGCTTTCCTTACAGGATGTCTTTTGGTGTGCAGTTGTTGTCCATTCTGCAGACAAGCTCAATGGTAGTGGATTCTGCACATGTCATGAGATGCATATTTTCCTTCAGGTCAAGCTCTTGGTAGGTATTCAACCCGTTTTCAGGTCCACCTTGCCTGTTCGGGATTTGCCACATTAGTCCCGCAAGAATAAGAAAAATAAGTCATATCACTAGGGATATATGTTTCCCAGGTTGGGGAACACAGATCACTAGCGATACGTGTTTCCCAGGTGGGAGAACACATATCACAAGGGATACGTGTTTCCCAGGTAGAGGAACATATATCACTAGAGATATGTGTTTTTCAGGTGGGGGAACACATATCACTAGGGATATGTGTTTCCCAGGTGGGGGAACACATAGCACCAGGGATACCTGTTTCCCAGGTAGAGGAACACATATCACTAGAGATATGTGTTTTTCAGGTGGGGGAACACATATCACTAGGGATATGTGTTTCCCAGGTGGGGGAACACATATCACTAGGGATATGTGATTCCCAGGTGGGGGAACACATATCACTAGGAACACGTGTTTCCCAGGTGGAGGAACACATATCACTAGGGATATGTGTTTCCCAGGTGGGGAAACACATATCCATCACTAGGGATATGTGTTTCCCAGGTAGGGGAACACATATCACTAGGGATATGTGTTTCCCAGGTGGGGGAACACATATCGCCAGGGATACGTGTTTCCCAGGTAGAGGAACACATATCACTAGAGATATGTGTTTTTCAGGTCGAAGAACACATATCACTAGGGAGTAGGGATATGTGTTTCCCAGGTGGGGGAACACATATCACTAGGAATATGTGTTTCCCAGGTAGGGGAACACATATCACTAGGGAGATGTGTTTCCCAGGTGGGGGAACACATATCACTCGGGATATGTGTTTCCCAGGTGGGGGAACACATATCACTAGTGATATGTGTTTTTCATGTTAGGGAACACATATCTCTAGGGATATGCGTTTCCAAGGTGGGGAAACACATATCACTAGGGATATGTGTTTCCCAGGTAGGGGAACATATATCACTAGGGATACGTGTTTCGCAGGTAGAGGAACACATATCGCTAGAGATATGTGTGTTTCAGCTGGGGGAACACATATCACTAGGGATACGTGTTTTCCAGTTGGGGGAACACATAGCACCAGAGATACATGTTTCCCAGGTAGAGGAACACATATCACTAGAGATATGTGTTTTTCATGTGGGGAAACACATATCCATCACTAGGGATATGTGTTTCCCAGGTAGGGGAACACATATCACTAGGGATATGTGTTTCCCAGGTGGGGGAACACATATCGCCAGGGATACGTGTTTCCCAGGTAGAGGAACACATATCACTAGAGATATGTGTTTTTCAGGTCGAAGAACACATATCACTAGGGAGTAGGGATATGTGTTTCCCAGGTGGGGGAACACATATCACTAGGAATATGTGTTTCCCAGGTAGGGGAACACATATCACTAGGGAGATGTGTTTCCCAGGTGGGGGAACACATATCACTCGGGATATGTGTTTCCCAGGTGGGGGAACACATATCACTAGTGATATGTGTTTTTCATGTTAGGGAACACATATCTCTAGGGATATGCGTTTCCAAGGTGGGGAAACACATATCACTAGGGATATGTGTTTCCCAGGTAGGGGAACATATATCACTAGGGATACGTGTTTCGCAGGTAGAGGAACACATATCGCTAGAGATATGTGTGTTTCAGCTGGGGGAACACATATCACTAGGGATACGTGTTTTCCAGTTGGGGGAACACATAGCACCAGAGATACATGTTTCCCAGGTAGAGGAACACATATCACTAGAGATATGTGTTTTTCATGTGGAGGAACACATATCACTAGGGATATGTGTTTTTCAGGTAGGAGAACACATATCGCTAGGGATTTGTGTTTCCCAGGTGGGGAAACACATATCACTAGGGATACTTGTTTCCCAGGTGGGGGAACACATATCACTAGGGGTACATGTTTCCCAGGTAGAGGAACACATATCACTAGAGATATGTGTTTTTCAGGTGGGGGAACACATATCACTAGGGATATGTGTTTCTTAGGTGGGGGAACACATAGCACCAGGGATACGTGTTTCCCAGGTGGAGGAACACATATCACTAGAGATATGTTTTTTTCATTTGGGGGAACACATATCACTCGAGATATGTGTTTTTCAGGTGGGGAACACATATTACTAGGGATATGTGTTTCCCAGGTAGGGGAACACATATCACTAGGGATACGTGTTTCCCAGGTGGGTTACACATATCAGTAGGTATACGTGTTTCCCAGGTAGAGGAACACATAACACTAGAGATATGTGTTTTTCAGGTAGGGGAACGCATATCACTAGGGATATGTGTTTCCCAGATGGGGGAACACATATCACTAGGGATACGTGTTTCCCAGGTGGGGGAACACAGAGCAAGAGGGATACGTGTTTTCCAGGTAGAGGAACACATATCACTAGAGATATGTGTTTTTCATGTGGGAGAACACATGTCACCAGGGATATGTGTTTCTTAGGTAGGGGAGCACATATCACTAGGGATATGTGTTTACCAGGCACAGCAACACATATCACTAGGAATATGTGTTTCCCTTTTAGGGGAACACATATCACTAGGGATACGTGTTTCCCAGGTATAGGAACACATATCACTAGAGATATGTGTTTCCCAGGTGGGGGAATACATAGCACCAGGGATATTTGTTTCCCAGGTAGAGGAACGCATATCACTAGAGATATGTGTTTCTCAGGTAGGGGAACACAATTATTAGTTGTCTTTGTTGGCCATTTAGTATGGATATTTGCCATGTTTTTTTTTTTATAATGTTATTCATCCTAACTTTTTTTTTTCGTGATTAAAAATGCCAAAAAAAAAACGTGGCTAATATCCAGCCATTTTGATCCTTTTCTTTGTCACTAATAAATAATTGTGTGTATGTGAAATAATTATTCGTTGCGGTATTTTGAGACCTTGAGTGTTGTCTTATTAAACAATTTAAGCCAGATACCTCAATATAACGAAAATGTGTTATTTATTTATTTATTTATTTATACAGGAGCATATGGTTTAGCATAGCTAATTTAAACAGAGTCCTGCACAGATGTATGGGTGGGCTAATTTTTGGAAAAGAACTGACAAATGGGGTTAGCATTTTCAGTTTGGGTGTCGTTTGGCTGGTTGGAAAGGGAGCACCAAATAGCAGCCTGGTTGTTGCTCAGCGAACATGACCTGGCTCAGTGGAGTCACCTCGATCTTTCTTTGACTCACTTGAAAGCTGAAACAGCAACTTCTTTTCTTCTTCCTTAGGATCCCCGACTGTTGGGATCCATTCTTTGTCAGGAGAATCCTTCAGAGTAGAGATGTCCTGCATAAAACAAGATTTTCCTCGGACGTTTGCAGTGGGCTCAAAGTCTCTCAGCAAGACATCGCCTGGCTGAGGATATTAGCACCTGAGACATGAAGAGCTTACCAAGGTTGAAGCAGACACCTGGGAAATGCTTGCAGCAGACACAACATGTGTGAAAGGTGCATGGTCTGGTTTCACATGCTTGATATGGAGATTCATGGACTTTACACAACATACACCTGAAATATTTTTGTTGTTATTTTACTATAAAAATGTATTGTTTAGATAGTGAACAAATTCCAATTTTCCAGAAGCCATGATTTGGTAAAAAATTTGAAAATTTTCCCTACTTTCTTTTTGCGCAAAAAAGCTTAGAAATATTGTTCGCTGATATTGTAGATAGAAAAAGAAAGGTTTTCCGTGTAATAAAAATGTGTTTTTAGAACGGCGTAAAAATTCGAATTTTTCCAAAGGGGTTAGTCCATGGTCAAAAATTGGTAGTTTTTCCATAGTTTGTTTTTGGGCAAAATAGTCCG